GAAATATATAAATGTTAAAAATATCACACAAGACTGAATCAATATGCCTCTGACATTACGTGATTAGCTCAAAATCTTTAACAGTGTCTTTTGTTGTTTGATAGTGTCGACAAAGCCTTCGCAAAATGAGGCTTTTTACATAAAAAAGAGGTGTTTAACACAAGTCTGTACACGGTAATATCATCTTCTATTTCGCTCCCCACTAATTTCCCACATCTCTCTCTCTCTCTCCACTTTCTCTTTCACTTTCCCCATCCTCTCCCCACCCTGTCTCTCCACACACACACTCTCTCTCTTTTTACCCACCTCTCTCTCTCCCCACCTTTCTTTTTTTCCCACCCTCTCTCTCTTCTCTCTTCACTCCCACTTCCTCTCTCTCCCCACTCTCTCTCTCCCTCTCTCCCCACTCTCTCTCTCTCCCCCACTCCCTCTCTCCCCACTCCCTCTCACCATTCTCTGTCTCCCCACTCCCTCTCTCCCTATCTCTCCCCACTCCAACTCCCTCCCTTTCTCTCCCCCCATTCCCTCTACCTGCAATCCTTCTCTCTCTCCAAAACTTCAATTAGGGGCCAGAAGGGGCCAGAATGCTAAATCTTTGACGCTTTTTATCCCAAAAGTGGGAATTGCTAAACGCCCCCATTAAGGAGTTGAAAAGCCGGCCCTGTATACTTCGTTTGCAAATATCTCGGAAACGGAAAAGAATTTCTGACTAGATGTTGAACAAAAAGTTTTCAAAATCATGAGAGCTTTAAAGTGGTATGAAGACAAAGGGGCTGCATGGACCCTCAAAATAGGAGCTTATAGGGGGCGAAAGTCTTTGATCAATAACTCTTTAACGATCAATATTTTGAAATGCATTACTGAAGCAAAAATGTTTATCTCAACAATTTACAACTATATATTATGATATTCACATCATATGTTACATAATTAGGGGCCAGAAGGGGACAGAATGCAAAATTGTTGACGCTTTATATCTCAAAAGTGGGAAATATTTTGATAAGCAATAATAAACTAAAGATGTTTAAATAATATTCTGATCAATGTGCAACCTTTAATTTTTTGCTAAATGTCCCCATTAAGGAGTTGAATTGCCAGCCCCTAAATATTTCTTAATATATGCAAATATATATTAAATGAAATAATATTTGCAAATATCTCGAAAACGAAAATGAATTTCTGAATAGTTGTTGAACAAAAAGTGTTCAAAATCATGACAGCTTTAAAGTGGCATGAAGAAAACGGACCAGCCCCTCAAAATAGGGGCCGAGAGGGGCCGAAAGTATTTAATCAATAACTCTTTAATGATCACTATTCTGTTATATATTACTCAAGCGAAATAATTCATTTTCACACTCTTTAACTATATAATATGATGTTTACATCATATCTTATGCAAGAAAGAGTCATAAGGGGTCAGATTGCTAACTTTTACCGCAATATATCACGAAAAGGAAGAATATTTTGATAAACAATATTGAACAAAAGACGTTCAAAGTAATATTCTTAATAATATGCAATTTTTCAATTTTTGCTAGACGTCCCCATTTAGGACTTGAAGTCTGTTTATATTTATTGACACTTGATCTTTCATCTAAATTAAACTTTTTTATGTACATGCCTCTAAAATGTCACCAGTCACTCGATGACTACTTGATTACTGGTTTCTTTATACTTTTGTTGATCCTTTTATTTTGTTCTATTAAATTTTTGTTTAGTATGTATGTTTTATTATTCAGTTGAATCAGACCTTCGATGCTGATACATATGCATGTACATCCCAAACTCATGTAAAAGTTTATTCATTGCTATTTCTATATAAAAGTACAAAACTATAACGCGTGTTGGCTTGTTTGAAGTTTCATGAATTTGGGTTCAACAATAAGAGGAAAACTTAGGGTTTGCCCAGAATTAGTATTTGACGGACAAATCTTACCGTAATACAATACTTATTATAAGAAATATCTACAATATGAGATCAGACAGTTGAAAAAATATCAAAGATTAGTTGCGGCTTTATTTTTGAGAAACTTAATTTATTATGAATCAAATACTTTCCGTATTCAAACATACAGGGAAGAAGGACAGTACTTTGTTGTCCTCAAATCAAATTAATCTATTAAATAAAGAAAATCCATGTACATGAAGATCCCAAGGACAACTACTTTTGAAGCGGAAATTAATATTAATATGTTGTCTTTTATGTTTTGATTCATTTTATTTTTCCTCAAATGCTGGAAAAGTTTTCACTGCTCTGTCCCTCCATTCATTAAATAAACGACGAGAAATACACTTCTAATGCAATATGAATTCGTAGAGACACTCAATTCTTCCATTCAATATGTTGAAATAATTATGAAGAACTGCTTCTACATGTATATCATTCATAGGGATATCCTCGTGAACTAATGCATTTATGCGGGCGATAGGTTCACGAGAAACCCTGTTTAAACTTCATTTGAGAAATATTGAATTATGTTGGATGTCGTTATATGCGTTATATTATAGGCCTTTTATCGTACATTAAGTATACTACATGTATATATCTTTGACAAAAGTCCTGAAATTTCAAATTTGCACCAATGAAATTTAAGCAAAATTTAATAAAAAAAACTACCTATATTTTATGAAACAACCGCGGAAGAATAAATTTGATTTTAAGTTCAATTAATTTTTAACCATATTAAAACTAAGCAATCTAGTATCTTTTGTGAAATAAATAAACATTTTCACATTATTTACATGTAGTTCTAGGCAGTTTAATTTTGATCGGGAAAAGTTTAACATACAAAACTTTTATTTTTATTTCTTTTAAAGTATAATTTATACTTATTTATCAATAAGCCTAAATTTTTTTTCCAAATGGATAATTAAGAACTTAATGAATTCTCGATTGGTAATTAAAGCAATTGAAAAATCACACATACACATATGTTCCCAGCATAAATAAATAAATAAATAAATAAATAAATATATATATATATATATATATATATATATATATATATATATATATATATATATATATATATATATATATATATATATATATATATATATATATATATATAGATAGATAGATAGATAGATAGATAGATAGATAGATAGATAGATAGATATAGATATATTGCCTTTGTGAAATGTATCATAAATTCGATATACAACATTTAAACAATAAAATTTGCATTTTTATCTTACATTTTCTTGATAAACGGAATAAAATGTAGATAAAGCGAGGAAAATAAAGACTAACCTGGTACTATCCTAATCAGTTTTTTTTTTATGACTGACATTTTTAAGTCTACAAAAAAAATTAAAAAATAAAATAAAATGAAAAAAAAAAATAAATTATAAAAATTAAAAATATAAATAATTTAATTGAATTCTTTCAAATAACTTTTAAAAAGAAAATTTGCATTTTTTCGCATTTAATTTGATCAATCTTTAAACTAGAATAAATAAATGAATATAAATAAATGAATAAAATAAATTAAATAAATAAATAAATAAATGAAATAATTAAATAAAAATTAACCCATCAATGTTTGAAGATTTCAATACTTATTCAAATACATGTAATATTATTACAAGTATGAAGAACTTGTATAAAAAATCTTAAAGTTTAAAAATACAAATATATTTTTTTTTAAAAATGGAAATAAATAATTAAATAACATGAAAAAACATTCATATCCCAAAATTAAGCGATAATATTGTTGTTTGGAGTGAAATAACCTAGGTTATGGAGTGAAATGATCTAATTGAGGGAGGGAAATGACCTAGGAGAGATATTACCTGGGCGGAAATGACCTAGGAGAGATATTACCTGGGCGGAAATGACCTACGCGGAACAGGCACTGGAGGGAAATGACCCGGATTCTATTATTACATCAAACTCTTAGTATTTCATGATGGTATGTATTATAATAATACCAGAAATATTGTATCATTTTTTTTTTTATTTCAAACTGCTACAATTAATAAAGTCTCAAAAATCAAAGTTTATAAAGTGAAAAGGGAGTGAGTCGAAATATAGTAATTGCTGTCTTTACCAATTTTCAGTTTTAAGTTGTCCATATCAATGCTGAAAAATCTTAACTAACTGATATTAATGAGATAATTTACTTTGCACACAATTAATTGTGGTAGATTGTTTGATTTCATCTTTCATGTAATTGTCAATTAAAGGTTTATAATTATATGATTTTATATTGTGATTGTTCTTCATATTTAATTAGACATTGTACCCCCCCCCCCCCCCACTACTCATATTTGAAGAATACATGAGAGCCATATTTTGAACCAGTTCAATATTTACAACATATACAAAATTCGATAAAAAATAATAAATGCATAAATACTAAAAAGACGATAAAAATCAGGAATAGACATATAATTCGTGACCACGAATTTTCATTTTGGGGCTGTAATTTTTTTCCTGGCCACATTTTTTTTTCAATTTTGTGACCACGAAATATTTAAATTGAAAATTTCATACCATGCCCTATACCGGCAATTGCTTAAAATTGAAATTTATGGGGATTTCTTCATTTGGGGAGACTTTTTTTTTGCGATACAAAATCGAAACGAATTCCGTCCTGCAGTCAGTGGATACCTTCATTATGCCTTGTAAATTTATTATTATCAACATGTATTCATAGTTTTGTTTGTTTGTTTGTCTGTTGTTTTTTTACCTTTTTGTTTTTGTTTGATAAAACGTGTGTTCGTGCATTATTGATTCTTATATTTGATTTTTGCAAATTACAATGAAAATCAAAGAAAACTACGTGGATAGCTGCCATGCAGTGATACAACATTACGTGCATTCTTTACATTCAGTGCTCGTTGATAAATTTAACAGCCAAGGCAAGTTTTTAAATAGCAATTGATTTATAACTTTAAAAATGAACTTCATTGCCTTTATTGTTGGCATGAAATATGACAAGGGTCTATATTTAGAAATTGTGGGGTTTCCATTTTAATAACCGAAAAACGGAATAATGTCAGGATTATCTCAGGGAATATCAACATTTTCTAGCTGCAACAAAGCTGGTTCTGTACCATATTTTACTCAGTATCTGACACAGCGTCCAAATGATTACACAGCTCTGACTTGGCGTGGCCGTGCTTATAGCATAATAGGAGAAAACGACAAAGCGAAAGCTGATTTCGAAAAAGCTGTGAGGGTTACTGCACCACCAAGAAAATATTTGGCTGAAGCACATTTAGAGAATATCTCCGGTAACGGAGCTCGGGTAAAATCTGTTCTTATTTCCACTGTTAACGAATTTCCTAACTGCGCAGAAGCCTGGAGTGAGCTTGGGACTCACTGTTACCATGGGAATGAAATTGATAAGGCACGCCAGTATCTTGAAAAAGCCGTTAATCTAGGGAAATCAAATGGCGAACAAGGAGAGCCGTGGTATCACTGGTGCAACAAAAGCCTTGGTGACATCCACTATGAAAATGACGAAATTCTGATAGCCTCGAATTGCTACCACGAGGCAATTCGTTGCTGTAATACTTTTACGGTGGCATATCTTGGATCAAGCCAGTGTGATATAGTCAATGGAAATGACCCCAGGGCCCAAGAGAGTTTCCTGAAAGCAAAGGATCTGAATCCATCAATCTGCCCCTGGGATGACTTCCGCGAATTTAAGAAAGTGGTTCTGCAGGACAGGCAACAGAGAGGTTCACATTCCGATCGCCACAGAAGTTCAGAGGCATATGGTGTATCACGAGGAGGAGGCGGAGGTCGAGGTGGAAGTAAGGGTGGAGGTGGAAACGGAAGTGGAGGCGATGATGGTAAGTTTTGGTAAAAATTCAGTGTCTAGAATAGTATCCATGTTTTTACTCTAACGATAAAATTTAACACCTATCTCGAAAGATGTAATTTTACAAGGATGTGCTTTTTTTCCATCAGAAAATTGTTTAAAGTTCATATTTGAGTAAATTTATCATTTCAACCTCTTTCTAGAAAAAAGAACATTAAAAAGATTTTTTAGTCACTATTCATATAAACAAAATACACGTTTTGAATCCCTCATATTATGATTTTTTCTAAAACTTAGAAAGCAAATGCATGTTAATCTATGTTGCATAAAATTATTTTAAATTATTAAAGATGCTGAAATAAAGAAAAATGGCAGTAAATCTAAATGCATGACCATTTCTTTTGCCTTCAAGAAATATTTGACCTGACAATCAAAACATAAATTTGTTAACTGGTACTAAAGTTGACTACATTCCACTGAATGCCTGTCAGTGTATTCTGTCGCAAGATATAAATAACTTCCTGTTTTCATAGATGATGATGACCCCGATGGCAGCAAAATGTTGAAAAAAATTAAAAAGGAAGCACCGGAAGTGAAGAAGTATGGAGGAAGAAATTACTATCGATCTAAATGTGGGAAGTACTGGTACACCAAAGACACGGCCGGTCATGGAGGGGCTTTCTTTAAAAAGTACGAGGATAAGCGAAGTACTCTGGAGTTTGTAGGCTCGGTGGATAAAAATCTTAGAGACATGCCACGTAAACATGAATCTGCTCTTGCTCCGACAATTCGTAAGAATGACATGGACACGGTCTATAAATAAACAATTAACATATCAAACTGCTTCGTCAATTAATCTAAAAAAATCATGCAACCTTGTCTTTTTATGGAAAAGTCAGAATATTTTGTTGAATTTTTTGAAATATATAGAATATACATCTTCATTCTCCATTTGAAGGAAATTTAAAAAAAAAAATGATAAGTTATCGGCTATACAAATGCTCTTGTTCTAGTCGTATAAAATATGTGTATTAATAAAGTTTTATTTAATTTAGCTTAACCAATAAAATTATGCCGTTTGCTTTGTTCTTGCTAAATTACGAACTCTTCTTTTTTTAAAAACTAACGCAGTAAAAGACTGAACACACTTGACCCGATTCTTAAATTTTATCCAGTGGAATGATTGTTTTCTTTAACATAAGAGGTTGTACATTAACATTTTTGTTCTGAAGTTACATGAATTAAAACTATTGAGACAATGAAAACGGTCTTCTTATTATTATACCCCCATAATCGAAGATTCTGGGGTATTTAGTTTTTGCCATGTCCGTCCGTCCGTTTGTTTGTCTGTTTATCCGCAAAAACTTTATCCTTACCCATAACGTTTGATTGGTTGGAACTATGGCTTTTATTTCTCACCTGTGTATTTTTTGGGACAAGACATCCTTTTGGGTAACAAGATATTTGATCTTTTGACATTGGAGCTTGATCCACTTTTGCCAAAAAAAAAAAATCCCAAACTTTAAACTTGGCCATAACATTTGAACAGGTGGTGCTAGGGCTTTCAAACTTCACAAGTATCGATATGAGTTTGAAACTTTCTTTTAAAAAAAAATTAATCTTGGCTATACCTTTTGAACAGTTAGAACTAGGGCTTTCATATTTCACAGATGTACTCCATGTGACAAGACCCTCTCCTAGGTACCATTTATTTGACCTTTTGACCTTGTAGTTTGACCTACTTTTGAAAAACTTTAACTTTGGCCATAACTTTTGAACAGTTGAAGCTAGGGTTTTCATATTTCACATGTGTATTTTTGTGACAAGAAATTTGCCTGGGTACCATTGATATTTATCAAAGGACGAATTCACGTTCCAGATTGATAAAACTTAAACGAACACATATATATGGTGGCATATTTCTGCCCCCCCCCCCTCCCCCCACATGCCAGATAATTATGTCGACTTGTCAAATCTTGTTGTTGTCTTGTCAAATAATTATGTCGATTGTCAGATCTTTTTTGTTAACTTGTCACTTATTCACGTATTTAAAAATTCAACACGAAAATGTATCTGTGCCCAGTTTAGGCCATCAGTTGACAACATATTTTTCTGACAAGTCGACAGAAGTATATGATAAGTCAATATAAATATCTGACAAGTCAAGATAAAGATCTGGCAAGTCGAAATATTATCTGAGACAAGTCAACATAATTTCCTGACAAGTCGACATAGTATATTACAATTCAACATCATTATCTGACAAGTCGACATAACATCTGACAAGCCGACTTATCAGAAAAGTATGTCAACTTGTCAGATAATGATGTCGACTTGTCAGTAATTACATTTACTTGTCAGAAAATTCTGTCGACTTTTCAGATATTATAATGACAAGTAGATGTCATTAAGTGGCTTGCACATGCTATAATTACAAGAAACAGAGTTCCTGGTAGTGAGGATTTTTATCCGACAAGTCGACATAATTATATGACAGGTTTTAAAGCTTAATGTTTCTGATACTCTTTTCTCCTCTATAGTCCTAGCTATGTAGAAGTATCATTGGCAAAAACAGATGCCAACGTAAGCTACATGTAGTTCCTTGTCTTTAGTTAACGAAACACATTTATATTTCCTTGGGGCAGCGATTTACGGAAGAGAATTAGTGCCATGTAATATTTTTAAGCTAGAAATTTCAACTTTAAAGTTGGTAATTTCAACGTTAAACTAAGATTTTCCAACTTCAAAGTTGATAATTCAAACTTTAAAATTGGTAACTCAAATTTAAAAGTTAGCTTTTCCAACTTTAAAGTTGTTAATTCCAAATTTGATCTTGGCTTTTTTCATCTTACAGTTGGAATTTCTAACTTTAAAGTGGAAAATTGGAAATCGAAGTTTAAAAATTCCTTTTTTAAGTTGGCTTTTCCAATTTTAATCTCAAAGATTAAAGTTGGAAAAAGCCAAAATTAAATTAAGTTAACGTTGTAATTACCAACTTTAAAGTTGAAAAAGCCAAAACTTAAGTTGGAAAAACCAAGATTTAAGTTGAAATTACCAACTTTAAAGTCGGAAATATACCAACTTTAAAGTCGAAATTACCAACTTTAAAGTCGGAAAACCCAACTTTAAAGCTGGAATAACCAAATTTAAAAATAAAATATTTCGTTGTATCAATAAAATGAATTGAGAATAATGAAGTGGAAGGCTCGGCTGGTGACCAAGTTAATGTTTTAATGAATTTTTCGATGATTAGTGAAGTTTACACTCGGGATCCTTAAAAAAGGAAACAATACTAAGACTTGAAATGAAAATGATGGCTTCTGAACGCATTCGTCCAACGCAAAGGCCATTTTTTTTACGGAGTACTTTTATTATTAATAAGTCAGAGAAACGATGCAAGTGATTCCGAAAAGTGAGTGAAAAAATCAACAAAATTAGCCATACGATATCAAACACTTGGGGCAACTGGAATTTGTTCACTCATGTGGATTTATGGCAGCTATATTCTTATACCGTCGTGAATTTTCTTTGCTAGCTTAAAAATATATTGAGCTAGAAACTAATTTTCTTGTTAATTTCTGTGAAACTACGAGATCTGTTAATGAGAACGAAATTCCATTCAGTGCCCTCTACGTTTACAATGCTGATAAAACGGTTTACTTTCTACTATGTCCTCTCTTCTGCTTTTTTTTTGTTTTTTTTGTTTGTTTGTTTGTTTGTTTGTTTGTTTGGTTTTTTGGGGTTTTTTTTCCCTACAATAGATAAATGTGTATATACGGAAGCCGGTAGGTGCCAGGTAGAAAAAATATTTTATATGGCGGCCGCCAGTTATGTGGCGGCCGCCAGATAATTATTTGGCGGCTGCCAGATAGAATTTTTTTTTCTACCTGGCACCTACCGGCTTCTGTATGCATCTATACAGTGTTTAAAAATATATATTATTACACAGGATATAGCCATTCAAGATGTGTGAGACCAAAACACGTGTAATTTCATAAATATTATGGATTCTGTGGAAGATTACGCCAGGCGATGGGCCTGATATAAAAAAGACCTTTACACGTTGTCAGAATGGATTAAATGTATCAGATGTACATGTATGTTAAAAACTCGCATTAAGCGATTGAGGGGCAAAATGAAAACCATCTATCCTTCTGTGTTCAATAATTCAGAAGTGAAAAAAGAATTAGATAGATTACACGATCAGTATGTACAGGTCCTTGCTGACAAAGCAGGTAACAACATTGTCTTTGTTTGTAAGGCTCATTATTAAATTGTATTTTAGAGGAACTGGGATTTAATTCTACAAGTGGTAATCCAACTTATACCCATAACTCCTTTTCTAAGGAGGAAATTCTTCAAAATCGTATGTCAGTTTTGAATATTTTTAATATTCTCAACAACCAACATGAATTTGAATTACCATATCTATATTGGATTCCGAAACTTAATAAATAACCTTATAAACAAAGATACATAGCGGGTTCCAGTAAATGTTGTTCGAAGCCTCTTTCTTTACTCCTCACTACAATATTAACAGTAGTGAAGGAGAAACTTCAGGAGTTCTGTGCAACAATATATTCGAGAAGTGGTGTAAATCAGATGTGGATACTTAAAAATTCCAAGGAACTCTTGGAAAATTTGAAATCACAACAATTTTACCAAAATCAACAATATAACTTACGACTTTTCAACTTTATATACATGTACAACCATTCCCCACGATAAATAAAAGTCCAGGCCTTTTGATATCATTGACAGCTGCTTTTTTTCAATAAAAATGGAACTCGTAAATTTACTTACCGGTACCTTCTCATTGGTCATTTGAAAAATTTGTTAAAAATCATTTTGATTGTACACAAAAGTACTCTGAAGTTGATATTAAAAAGATGCTTGAGTTTCTGATTGATAATAACTATGTGGTTTTTGGAGACCAGGTCTTCCAACAATCTATTGGAATTTCATGTATACCAATTGCGCCCCGTTAATAGCAGACCTTTTTTGTATTCATATGAAGCTGGATTTGTTCAATAGCTTATACGTGAAAAGATGAAAACACTTGCCGTGGCCTTCAACTCGACATTTAGATATATCGACGACTTATTGTCAATTGACACTGGTTATTTCCATTCTTATGTCGATACGATATATCCCGGTGAGCTTGAAATAAAAGATACCACAGAGTCTGAAACATCTGTTTCATATTTGGATATTTTACTAGAAAAAGACGTTAATGGTAATCCAACAACCAAGCTTTATGATAAACGAGATGACTTTAACTTTTCAATCGTCAACTTCCCTTACTTATGCAGCAATATACCTTCATCACCTGCATACGGGGTTTATATCTCTCAGTTGATTCGATACGCAAGAGCATGCTCTACGTATGAACAATTTCTAAAACGAGGTAAGTTATTGACAAACAAGTTGATGAAACAAGAATATTAGCAGTCTCGTTTAAAGTCGTCATTTCGTAAGTTCTATGGTCGATACAATATGACCTTGTCAGCAAATACAATTTATCTTTAAGTCAAATGCTGACTGATGTTTTTCATACTAATTGCAAGGCCATTATTTACACACTGAATTGTCGACGGATTTTCCGTTATTTCCCGATCATGACGAGGAACACACGGCGGGTGTGACCGGTCGGCAGGGGATGCTCACTCCTCCATGGCATTTGATCCCACCTCTGATATTTTAGAGGTCCGTTTTTGCTCTGCTCCAAAATTTGGATTGTTTAATGGACTTTTGAGCTTGAATACTGTTCGTTAATTCCATATATTTCATGTATAAACGTAACTTACCACTGGACAATAAATTTAAGCTTACAGCTGCAAATGTATAAGTCGGATTATGCATGTTTAATCCAATTAACTAAAGGAAATGGAAGGATAGATGTTTGTTCTATACATTTTGTCTTTTTCTAAATTTTCTTTAGCTATTTCCCTCATCTCTAAATGCATCGATGTGTAAATCAAATTTTTCAAAGCAGAATAGTTCTATCTGACAACAGAGCTGTAACTAAAAGAAGTCAATGGGGTTTACATAAATCCTGATTTATCCCATGAACTATTCACCATTGAGCAACGCTTGCCTGTTTCATCAGTAAATGCAAAGTAATTTTGTGAATTTATCCGAGCATTTTAATACTGAATCAGAAGGTTATCCTTATAAGGTGAATAAAGCCCCACTCCCAAAAGAACGTCATAAATCTATAACCTGAAATGCTAAAAAAATATTTCAACCAAACACTTTTTGATTTTGCAAATTTTAGAGAAAATGTAAATGCTGTTGCTGTCGCTGTAGTGACAATCTTACCAGCGATCTTTCTTGATACTATTGGTATGTATAGAAGGGCACAGCCAACTATGCAAATTAAATGAAAGCAAACTAGATACAAACTAGCTGCATATTTATGATTACATCATTAAAGACTAGATTCGTTTCAGGCATCCGTAGGCATAAATACATGCTGAAGAAAAGATGCCTTTTAACTGTTCTCCTTTCTCCTCCCATCAAACAACAATCTAATTAAAATTAGATGTTCCGAATCCGCTACCGTTTGAGAAGCGGTAGCGGATTCGGAACATCCAATTTTAATTAGATTGATCAAACAAATAATTCATACATGTGAACACGTTTTTGTTTATATACGCGTTTAATACCGGTACTATCATCAAACTGTATACAATATTTAGAAAATAAAAAAAATCTAGAATACTGCTATGCGTAGACGAACTGCCGTAGTTACAAATTTAAAAAGAAATCTTCAATAAACTTGAAATAACGCATAATTGAAGAACGATAAAAAAAATTCAGCAATAAGAACTTCAAAACTTCATCAGAATTAATGTAGCTTCTTTGTTATTCTATGTACTTGTACACTCTGATTTCATTGGTGTCAATATCCCCCACCCAGAGATTATACTTGTTATCCATTCCGATGGCTCTGATCCTCCTCTCAAGGGTAGACGCTGGGAGGCGGAGGATGAGGCAGAGAAATCTTCCATCTTTATCCAGCATGTGGACACTGTCATCCATGTGGTCATTGTTGTCGCAGACCAGGATGTTTCCCAGGACATCGGTGCATATTCCGCTGGGTTCGAAAATGGTTCCCGGTGGATGCCCGCCCTCGGCGTCGTAGTCAAAACGATGGTTTCCGGTCAGCCCTACAGCAACTACGACTTGTTTCTCCCAGTCCGAGGCTACGATGTCGCCATTAATGTTCTCGGCAATATAATGAGGACAGCTGTAAAGTCGCTTCTTGCTATTTTCGTCAAATTCGTACTGCTTCAGTTCTTTTCCTGATTCGCAATAGCGAACAACCTTGGCTTTTTCCATACTATCATCCATCATTCCCACCAACAGGTCAGAGGTTACATGAGACACGTGAATACTGATTGGTGTCCATCCTTTGAAAGTTACAAGGACCTTCTTTTTCTTCCCTGGAATGAGTTTGGAAATGCTATCATCATATTGGTCGATGAATAGCAGTTCGTCATCTTTGGTAACTGCATGAAATCCAGTGGGCTGTTGCTTGTAATGATGTGTCTTAATCTTCTGAATTTCGTTGCCCTTTGGATCAATTTCTACCAAATTTCCTAGCTCATCGCCCACCCAACACTTATTAGACTTCATGCAGGAAATATGCCGACATCTGTCAATATCTGGAACATGGATGGCTTTCACTTTCTGGATTTTCTTAGCAAGTTTGAGTTTCTTCGGATGGATGTTTTGCATTGGTCCCTGCAGGGATGCTGGAATGAATAATTTCCCGAATAAAGCTTCCAACGTTTCAGTATTCAACTCCCCCTCTTCAAAGGATGGAAGATCGTGGTGCAATTTTAAGCTTGGGATTTCTTTGAGTTTTTGGATTCTGTTGTAAATACTCATTAAATCACCGGATTCCATTTTCTTTCCTTTCTTTTCATATTCTTCTACAACTGCTTGTAGCAGAGCTATGTGTTCAGCCATTTTATGCTCTTCAGCCTTATATTCGTTTATAAGAATTTGTTCTATATCTGTTAGATCCTTCATATTCTTTGATGAAAATTCGTCTAACAAATCTTTCAACTGCCGAATTCTGGACGTCATGGTAGACCTAATTTGTGATAGCATATGCTTGCTTGTGTCTAGATTTTTACCCAATTCTTCTATAACTAGCCGACAGTTAGGAATGACGGTCTCCTTAATTTTACTTATCTGTTCACAACATTTGTCTTTCATTGAGACAACCATCTCACTGGCCGCAACGAATGAGTGGCCATGGTGCTTCTCCGTACTAATGCATCTCATGCATACCGGCTCCTCGCACTGTTGACAACAAAGCACCCCGCTGTCTTGGTCTGGATGTATCTTGCATTTCATTTTGGAAAGTGATGAAGTTACACTCTCATCGCTTATACAACTTCTGAAAATAAGAGACCAAATTCAGTAACAAACCCAAAATGAATGAATACTAAATAAATTCCCCTCTAGTCATGCTAGTCTAGTCCTAGGTATAACAATTTTAACGAGTTAGTTTAAATAGTTTTTGATAAATTATATCGCTAATTAAATTCTAATTTTCCTGTACACTCATCCTTTGTAGAAATTTTATCAGTGAACACATCGATAACACAGTCCTTGCACAATGAGGCCAATGACCTTGTTCACTGTTCCACAGAACTTTCTAGTATAAATAATGACATTTTCTTTTCTCTGTCACAAACAGTAAAAAATATATAAAAGCACACAGTCTGCGTTTTATACAAGCTAATCTTGGCTGCATGCATAAATAATACTGACAGGCCTATATGGCTTATTGATTTCGTATCTCCCTCTGACATTATCCCGATTTTCATCCTTCCCAACTTTCTGTGTGTGAAGATGCCATATTATTAACATGTTTTCCATAAATCAGCTGTATATTCCTAACAATTTTCATACGTACCCCATATATCCTATAAGAAAAACGGTGACCTAAATAAAACTGCATCACAAAATTATATGTTTTGGCTTGTCTTTGCTGTTTACATTTTTCTATGCCGGATGTCGACGTCACTTGTTTTTTATGTTGTTAACGAAAGATAACCCTCCCTCCTCCCCCCACTTTACATATTTTACTATTTTCCATACAGGCAACAAGGCTGTAGCTACACATCATTTTCTCAAGATTAAAAAAATATATATAAATATATATACATACTTGGTTGAATAACTTGAAAAAAGTTGATCATGGATCTTGTCTATCAATTTTATTTTGTTGGACACCAAATGAAAATAGTATTCCTAGCAATTAGCACTTTCATACTCATTCACCTTTACAGTTTTTGTATTTAATGACAAAACTTTTTTATTCTTATAGCTGGTGGATTTCTTCAAGCTGAAATTGAAATGCTATCTTGAAGTCGATAACAGACTATTTAAAAAAAAAAAAAAAGGGCAGCAACAGGAGCCCAGGGAATAGAAATTAAGGATTATTCACTAAGAAACTTTCCATCTTTCAAGGAATGGGGGCATACCCACAATTTAGTGCTTCGCACCTTAGCTTAAATCTTTGACTTCACATTAGCCTACACATTAGCAGAAATGAATATACACCACTGACTTTTTAAAATTCATATTCATGTCGAATAAAAAAAAATACGACCATTATGTCTATGAAATAGTTATACCCAAAAAAGTCTTACTAGATTGTAGAGGGAGGGGTTTGTCATGATATCTTTAAAAATTCTTTAAGTTTTTTTTTTTTTTTTTGGGGGGGGGGGGGGGGGTAAGGGGGATATTCCGAATGTGATAAAGATACATTTTTTATAATTTTTTTTAAATACATGCATGTATACGTCTGTATGCAAAATTTTTAATTTATGTTTTCGTAGTCATTTTCAAACAACAATAATTTTTGGACTTTGTTTTTTGGTAAGTGTACATTTCTTTCTTCTTTAGCAATATATATTCCAATTTGTAGATCAAACTTCCGCCAGAGTTCTGCTTGGGATAGGACAGAAGAAATTAAGGAGGATTTCCTTAAACACGACCAAGACGTCAGAACTGTGCTCACCAGAGAGAGAGAGAAACTCGTTTTGAAAAGAAATACAATTTTGTAAAATTGAGTTACTGCGTCGCCGTGTGTACGAGTTCAGAAATGGTTGAAATTCAATATTTATACATTAAAATTTCATAAAATTCTGACTCCTTAGATTTGTGTTTTATTTAATAACAACACTTCTTTCCAGTTCTGCTTATGTTGGTTTTCATGTCTTGCATGTTAATACCTCAAGAATAAATAAATCCTTGATTTTTTTTTACATTTTATTTTTGTCAAATGCTGCTCTTTGAAAGGAGAAACCATAACAAACATATTCACAGCCACATCAGGCCATATACTACTGAAAAAAATCTTGCTCAAAACGAGTCTTTGATCCCATCAATAAGGAAAACACATTTAAATTGAGACAAAAATCTTGAAAGAATGAAAGTCTATTATAAATCCAGGCTGTATCGTCCAAAAAGAAGAGCAGAACCACAATGCTCATTCCATCATAGGAACTGAAGAATTTAATATAATCTTTATCAGCTGAAGAGAATACATGTAGTCTAAATAGACAGAAAAGAACTGCAAGACTCAGGTCAAAGGAGCACCTGCTTCAGAATACTTGTATCTCATCCAATCTATGGCTTTAAGTATCAATATAATAATAATGAAAAATAAAAAAAATTTAGTACACTAGTCTTCTCTAGAAAGTTTTCTGTTATACTAGATATTATAGCATACAATTGTTCTGGGTTAGAAGTTAATTTTAAGTATCAATATAATAATAATGAAAAATAAAAAAAAAAAATAGTACACTTTTTCTTCTTTATCAAGTTTTCTATTATACTAGATATTAAAGCATACAGTAGTTAATTTTCTCAACAGCCAAAAGTCTCTATGTACATCTTGAATTTAACGCTCTCAAAAATGAACAAATTTCAAGTGAAAGGGGGTTGGGGGTGGGGGTATTTGTTACTAGGCTTAATGACTTGGTAAAATAAAGTCTCTTTAACTCTTTAAAAAATTTTAACATATATCTTAGACTAGATGACAGACAAGTTTTTATCAGAATAGCTTAGTGCTTTCATTGAGTTCAAAAAATACAACTTATAAAATCCAGAATTAAGAATTTGATTGCAGAAACTGTAGTTACATAGAGTGTGGGGAACTATGACCTACAAAATTACATAAGCAACATTTGAAATACCTTCAAAAACATTATTTTAGCGTTTTATTATTCATTTCAATTGTCAATTAATTACAGTAATGATTAATAAACAAGAGGCCCAGGGGCCACATCGCTCACCTGAGCACTATGGCTAGGAAAAAGCAGAAATCAGTTCAGTCTTGAAAGGTTGAAAAGTTTGAATAAAAAAGTGGTTTGGGGGGAGGGGGGGGTGTCATAAATTGAACAAATTTGAATCTACATTATCTGAGGATGCTTCCATTTAAATATGACCAATCATGGCTTTGCTGTTCTTGAGTAGAAGATTTTTAAAGATTTAACCTATGTATTCCTATGTAAAACTTTGATTGCCCATTGTGGCCCCACCTGATCCCCGGGGGTCATGATTTGAACAAACTTGAATCTACACTACCTGAGGATGCTTCCATGTAAGTATGACCAATCATGGCTTTGCTGTTCTTGAGAAGAAGATTTTTAAAGATTTTTCCTATATATTCCTATGTAAAACTTTGATCGCCCATTGTGGCCCCACCCGACCCCCGGGGGTCATGATTTGAACAAACTTGAATCTACACTATCTGAGGATGCTACCATTTAAATATGACCAATCATGGCTTTGCTGTTCTTGAGAAGAAGATTTTTAAAGATTTTTCCTATATATTCCTATGTAAAACTTTGATCGCCCATTGTGGCCCCACCCGACCCCCGGAGGTCATGATTTGAACAAACTTGAATCTATACTATCTGAGGATGCTACCATATAAATATGACCAATCATGGCTTTGCTGTTCTTGAGAAGAAGATTTTTTAAAGATTTTTCCTATATATTCCTATGTAAAACTTTGATCGCCCATTGTGGCCCCACCCGACCCCCGGGGGTCATGATTTGAACAAATTTGAATCTACACTACCTGAGGATGCTTCCACATAAGTTTCATATTTTCAAGCACAGTGGTTCTTGAGAAGAAGATTTTTTAATGATGCCATTAATTTTTCACGAATTCTTAATTATCTCCCCTTGGAAGAAGGTGTGGCCCTTCATTTGAACAAACTTGAATCCCCTTTACCCAAGGATACTTTGTGGCAAGTTTGGTTGAAATTGGCCCAGTAGTTCTGGAGAAGAAGATGAAAATGTGAAAAGTTTACAACAACGACGACGCCAACGCCAACGCCAACACCAACGACGACGACGACGACAGACAACGGACAAATTTTGATCAGAAAAGCTCACTTGAGCCTTTGGCTCAGGTGAGCTAAAAACAAACCTCCCAAATGTAATGGAAAAAATTTTTAAAACAAATATTTAACACATATAAAGATCATTCATAATTGATAAAAAAACAACACAAGAATGATCTGTATATAAACATGCTTACATTTTTTTAGACTTACATGTATATACATAATGTTATTGTAAAATAATTAGACAAATATTTTTCACACATACACATACCATAATGGCATAACAATAGCTGCAATATTATAGAGGAATGGCTCAGAATTCCTTGTTCATTTTTTTAAGACTAATAATTTACCTTAATAATTTCAGGGCATCTAATTAATATCTTTTTTTTTTAAATTTAATTCAAAACAAAAAGATAAAGATGAGCAATATGCATATGTATATTCAGACAGATGTGCACAGCATATTGACTACTGTTACATGGGTTTAGCAGACAAGTTTGGAATGTTTCATGATCAAATTTTGTTTTGTTTTTTTTTTAAAGAAAAATATTTAAACCTGGAAAGCAAAAATGGTCAAAATTCATTTCTTAAGTACAGACCCTGGATTACATTTATCCTTGGGGTTTCTTTAACCTTTTATTTTTATATTGTGTCTTGAGGAGACCTTGTCCATATGTTTCTTTGTAACATTGCAAAGAACAAAACAACAATATACCTTCCATACCATTTCAAGCTTTGGGGCATAAAAAATGTTATGCAAACATACAAGTCTCCAGTAAATTAAATAGCAAGTTATTCAATTTCTTTGTTGCCATTATAACTTTGAAAATTTGAATAGAAAATATATAATATTTCTTTTCTTAAAACAGAGATCAACATACATGTACATGAACATGTAAAACTCAAAATACACATAAAGCTATATAACCCAAACAAATCCGAAATAATGGTTCTTCAAATATAGTGCCTGTGTAATGATTGAGAAATGCTTGCATGAAAATAACTTTCAAAAATATTTGACTGAAGGAATTAATATACATATTTGTGGGTGTAACTAGTTAATAAATAGAAACTTTTCTTTCAGATTTTTAAATACACTGTAAAATATGGTTATTTAAAGCTACAAATACATCTTCATTCATAATTTTAGCTCCTTTTGAGATTTTATGTATTGCATAAATATCACACCAATTATTACACAATTAATTGACTATATATTTACAAAGAAAATAGCATTTGTTCAAAATGTTCACATCTTGATGCTATCTTAATTTGTCTCATAAGGCACTTTGAATGCTAAATTCCAAATTCCCCAAATATATTGAACTATATATCACCATTGTAACATCAAAAAGGATAATGTAATATTGTATGTAAAGAGAAAAAAAGAGATAAAAATTGTTGTTCAGCCATTTGAAAACATGAACAATATCTTCCATCAATATCATTCTATAGGGATAAAATACTGGAAGCCATGCATGGAGTTAAAGATATATATCAATTCAATGTGGTAAATTTCAGATATATATAAAACGTGACAAGAATATTATTTACCTGAATGTGCAGTCAATATAAAAATATATTTTTGTGATTGAAAAAAGTAATATGGATAACAAAGATTTCACGTACAAAACAGTGGAAGCACTTGCAGTAATGGAAGCACTTCATGTTATCTCCATCAGAACTGTTTCACAATTATAAATCATTTTTATATAAAGATACATGTACATTTTACACAGTTAAAAAAATGTTCATCTTTTGTTCAATAATAAATATAATTAATGTATTTTTAACCTTAAATGAGCAACATTTGTGGATTTCAAGAGCTTTGGTTTCATTGTAAATTGATTTGAGACAATCAATGAACTAGCAAATAAAAAACGTACCGGTACTTGAAATTTATAATCAACCTCCTTGATTTTTTTTCCCAAAAATAGGACATATTAATTCTCGTGATATAGAAAAAATTTCCAATATATATCTTCCTTTAATAGCAAAAACATGCTAAACTCAGTTTGCAGTTTTAAATTTATGTACATGTATTTCAAAATAAATAACATGACAAATTCTGAACACCCTCAAGAGCAATATAGGAATTCAAAGAAAGAAATAGGCATTAAATACAATGTATGAAGCTCATCTTTTTCAACACATGAAATATATATGTATATTATATATCACAGGCACTTTGATCCCATAAAGCAGAAAAAGAATGCTGAAAATTGAACAGGAATAAAAATATAAAATTTCTATAATTCATGCATGAATTCTCCCTTTCAAATTCTCAAAAAAAAAATGTTGCAAAACATGTATGACATTACTATGCAATCAGCACAGCAACGTGTAGTTTCTAGCTACTTATCTTCATATACTTGATACCTAATTCTACCACACAAAATAAAATTATTCCATAACATATTTAACGCCTTTTCAACATCGATAAATTATGTATTAGGCTGCCTGGCAAGATTATTTGATAGTTGTATGTACACATAATTAAAGTATTATGTTAAACTTCATAAATATATATAAATAATTCAATATTAAAATATAGTCATGAAAGTGGTGAGTTTTATAATGGATATAAATTTCATGAGATCTTAATATCACTCTGTTGGAAAACTTTCACACATTTCATCACGTGGATTCAGAGTGCAGTGAATGGATTTAAATCTGAAATACGTAAAAAAAAAAAAAATCAAAAAATTATGTCAATATATTCAATATCGGAATTATTAGCATACTTATTTTTCCATGCATAATATTTTCAGAATGACCACCCATACTTGTAACAGTTACATTTTAAGGTTCATAAACCCTCTGATCACTCATAATGTTGCTTTAACTCTTATGATTTTCCAAAAGAAATGTATTTTATAAGTAAAATAAAAACAATTAAAGCATAGCTTGTGGGCCAAATTAAGACAAAAAGGCACTTCAACTTGGCTAATTTATGAAGGATTAATAGACATTTATGTCATTAAGAGTTGTCTCTCTTATCAAAGTATCAATGAACCTTAATTCACATCTATTATGGTCATTACACTATTGAAACTTACTATGTATAGTCACATTAAAATGCCAAATATTTGATATGAGGAAAACCAGACTGCATTAGTTTAATTATCAAATATCATTAGATAAAAACAAAAGATAAATCAGTAACACACTAATATTATTGCTGCTCTAACATTTTTATCAGATGCCATCCCCTTCCCCCCTCCCACAGAAAAATCACTCCTCACTGTTACCATACCTCCAAGGACAAATGATTCTAAGGAAATCCAGTAAATTATAACTACATGTACATGTTTACAATTATTGTAAATTATATAATCCTTCTTGAATTCTATTGTCTTTATTATGAATAATCACATTGTAGACCTGCAGATGTATCATTTTCTCAGACAGGGTTCGACATTAACTTTTTTTACCTTGGTGGACCGAAGGTCCACTAGTCAAAAAATATTGGTGGGCCTTCTCAAATTCTGGTGGACCTTTATGAATGTTTGAATTAATGAATGAATTCATAACACAAGGCTTGAAATCAACTTACGTACCCAGTCTCGTCAGACTAATAAAGTATAAGTTTAACCAGTCAACAGAAACAAATCAATTAGTCAGGAATTTTCAGCAATATTGTGAAACATATTTTCAATATTTAAAAAAAAGAACACAATCTACATCTTCAAACAATTTGTTATTTTAATATCATTTATTTACAATGGTAAAAACCTGCATGTATTTAGCTTCCAACGGTAGATACAATTTATAATCCCAATAATTGAGTTGTTCATATAAACAAATGGATTTTTCATGTATCTATGGCTAGAATACTTTTTACTACGATGCAAAACTGACAAAAGTATATTTATTTATTTATTTATTTATTTATTTTAATTATTATTTATTCAAATAAACTGTGATCATATGATTCTTTTATGTGATATAATGTATACTGTATAGCAGGAAAAAAAACAGGAACTGCAGATTATGTATTCATAAAATATAAATCACACCTGTTTGAGGACAATGCATAAATGCAGCTGTCAATCAATTCTCATTATATCCAAACCTGGCCATCAGAGTGCGTTCAGGCGTGAAGTGATTTCTTATTTTCACACCTTTCTGTGCATTAAACAAGCAAAGGACAGACTGACCAATTTGGCTCAAATTTTACATGCTTCTTTTTCAATGTCCGTGTTGAATGTTCTTGCAGTCAATGTTATTAATATTGTAGTCATCAATTTAATATTACATGTAAAATATATATTTAGTCGCTAGGTTCCCCTGATTACCCAAAATAAATTATACCCTATTTATTTCTTGTAAAATATAAGTATGGATGAATTAATCGTTGATTTACAGATGTCGATTTATAGAAAAAGTGGAATTACCGTTTTTTCTTTAATATGGTGTTTAATTTTTAAGTGGACCGACGGTCCACCTAGTCCAGAACATTTGGTGGACCTTCCAATTTTTTGGTGGACTCGGGCCACCGGTTCACCGTTAGTGTCGAACCCTGTCAGATGTTGTATAATTTGTATGATAGTATCATTTGATCTGATATTGTATCATTTGTATGATACTTGTACCCAATTCATCTATAAATACCTTGTGGGATCCTCCTTCAAACTGAAACCAGGGACACTGGCCACATTCTGGTCATGATAACTCATGGTAATCTGCAATCAAGGTCAAGTACAATAGAGCAAACGTTTTACTGGACTTATCTCATATAGCTAATTAATAGCTAATTAATATACTACTCATTGCTAAAAAATTATTCATTATGACATATTACACTTACATGCATACCAGGTAAATAAACCATTTTTAAGCTAGAAAGGTTTATCGTATACAATTAAAGAAGGACAAAGAAATGATAAATACAGTCAAACCTCTTTATCTCAAACTCAATGTGACCAAGAAAAACTTCAAGATATCAAAGGGTTTGAGATACTGATGTAAAGTGTACGACACAATCAAATAAAATATTTGCATGACAATTTATCAGAACTTGACTCTTACATGTTTCTTAGGGTCCTTAATTCTGGACTGAGATTCTAAATGTGAATGAAACAATTCCACTCGGGTGAGTTCAACCTTTAAAAGGTGATCTGAAACAAAAAAGTTATCCTCAACAGTCTATCCAAACCATTTTCTTTGTTTCTGGGTATTTCTTTTGATTGTCTACATATTGCATGACACTAAATGTGGATTCTCTGAATCTTCAAGTTATAATTAAGTTATAATAGCAATTAACCTAGATAATAAATGTTTGAATATGTAGCAGTTTATGTGGATAATCACTCTGTATATACTTATAATTTCAACTCCTTCTCCAAAAATCTAATACCTTAATTATGCAATGTATATGGAAAAAATAATAATTCTGAACATAATTAATAGTCTAAATATGACCATTCCTTATTATTTAAATGATCAATGTATATGTACTTACTTATTATGTATCCAACTGTGCAATCATCTGGCAGTCGAATGGAATCCCCTACTTTGGTTAGTTTTCCACCACTGTAAAAATAAAACATTACATGTAAAGCAAACTCTTGATTTATGCTCAGTTTCCAGAAAACAAATACAAGAGGAGACTTGATCATTAAAAAGAATTTGTATAGATGATTGTATGTTAAACATGCAATTATAACCATACTAACAAATGTGTATAAAAAAATTCTGAATCCTTCAAAGAGCATGGTGTACAGAAAATAAAATAAAATTTAAGAAACCCATCTAATTAACTCTTCACTGTGTAGATTTTTCCACCCCACCCCCCCCTCTCTCTCTCTATTTTCACCAACTGTGGACCAAGTAATTTCAGAGCCCCCACTGAATTCAATTCTCTCTGTTGAAGCAAAGGTCTAATTCTTACCCTGCTTCTGGAACCATAGCAATACCAAGAGCTCTGCTGATACAGAATCCAGCACCGCCAGTCGCAAACCAGAATGCTACCTTTTGCTGCAAGACACAAAATTCTTCATTAACCCTTCAAATGCTTAAATTTCAAAGCAATTTATATTTCACAGATCTAATGAATTTTGAAAAAGTTTAGATGGAAAGGGGGTGGTTGGGGATAGGTAATTATGGGTAGGCATAATGACTTCATGGAAAACATATTTCATGTAACAAAACATGCAAAATGCTGCCAATTTATATATAAATGTAAATGACAATTTTATCAATAACAAGAGGCCCAGGGGCCACATCGCTCACCTGAGCACTGTGGCTAGGGAAAAAGCAAGAATCAGTTTAGTATTGCAATGCTTAAATGCATAAGTGGTCCCGACCTACCCCTAAAAGGGAGGGGGGTATGATTTGAACAAAATTGAATCTACACTAACTAAGGATACTTATATATATTTTTTTTTTTTGACTGTGACTTTTTTCCTACAATTTAAACTTTCACTGTGGCCCCTACCTACCCCTAAGGGTCATGAATTGATCAAACTTGAATCTACACTATCTGAGGATGCTTCCATATAAATATGACCAATCATGGCTTTGCTGATCTTGAGAAGAAGATTTTTTAAGATTTCTCCTATATATTCCTATGTAAAACTTTGATCATCCATTGTGGCCCCACCCTAACCAGGGGGTCATGATTTGATCAAATTTGAATCTACACCACCTGAGGATGCTTCCATATAAATATGACCAGTCATAGCTTTGTTGTTCTTGAGAAGATTTTTTGAAATTTTTCTTATATACTCCTATTTAAAACTTTGATTGTCCATTGTGGTCCTACCTACCCCCCAGGGTCATGATTTGAACAAATGTGAATCTACACTACCTGAGAATGCTTCCATATAAATATGACCAATCATAGCTTTGCTGTTCTTGAGAAGAAGGTTTTTAAAGATTTCCCCTATGTATTCCTATGTAAAACTTTGATCGCCCACTGTAACCCCACCCTATCCCAAGGGGTCATGATTTGAACAAACTTGAATCTACACTATCTGAGGATGCTTCCATGTATATATGACCAATCAAGGCTTTGCTGTTCTTGAGAAGAAGGCTTTTAAAGATGCTCCCTATGTATTCCTATATGTAAAACACTAATTGCCCACTGTGGCCCCACCCTACCCACGGGGGTCATGATTTGAACAAACTTAAATCTTCACTTCCTGAGGATGCTTCCATATAAATATGACCAATCAAGGCTTTGCTGTTCTTGAGAAGAAGATTTTTAAAGATTTTTCCTATGTATTCCTATGTAAAACTTTGTTTGCCCACTGTGGCCCCACCCTACCCCTGGGGGTCATGATTTGAACAAACTTGAATCTACACTACCTGAGGATGCTTCCACATAAGTTGCATATTTTCTAACACAGTGGTTCTTGAGAAGAAGATTTTTGAAAGATGCCATAAATTTTTCATGAATTTGCAATCATCTCCCCTTGGAAGAAGGCGTGGCCCTTCATTTGAACAAAGTTGAATCCCCTTCACCCAAGGATAATCTGTGCCAAGTTTAGTTGAAATTGGCCCAGTAGTTCTGGAGAAGAAGATGAAAATGTGAAAAATTTACCACAACAACGATACCAACGACAACGACGACAGACAACAGACAAATTTTGATCAGAAAAGCTCACCTGAGCCTTTGGCTCAGGTGAGCTAAAAACTAATTATTAATGTATCATCTTGAAGCTATCTTGCCTGCAAATATAACACAGAGACTGAAGGTTAAGTCAAAAGTTAAAATAAGTATAACATACTTCAAGAACAGTATTCCAATACAGAACAAGAGCCCCATGGGCCACATCGCTCACCTGAGCACATTCGCAAGGCAGAAGCACAAATCAGTTCAGTATTGAAAAGATTACCCGGGGGGGGGGGGGGGGGGGGGGGGGGGGGGGCTTGAATTTTAAACTTCCTGATGATGCTTCCATGTCAATACAACAAATGGCTTTGTTGTACTTGAGATGATTTTTAAAAAAATTTCCCATATATTCCTTTGTAAAAATTTGATCCCCCATTGTGGCTCCTCCCTATCCCAGGGGTCATCATTTGAACAAACTTGAATCTACACTACCTGAGGATGCTTCCATATCAATATGACTAAACATAGCTTTTCTGTTCTTGAGAAGAAATTTTTTTCTATATGTTCTTATGTAAAACTTTCGATCCCCCTATTGGGCCCCACCCTACCCTCGGGGGTCATCATTTGAACAAAATTGAATTTACACTACCTGAGGATGCTTCCATATCAAAATGACTAAACATGATTTTTAGTTCTTGAGAAGAAGATATCTTCCTATATGTTCCTGTGTAAAATTTTCGATCCCCCATTATAGCCCATCCCTATCCCCTGGGGTCATCATTTTAACAAACTTGAATCTACACTACCTGAGGATGCTTCCATATCAAAATGACTAATCATGGCTTTGCAGTTCTTCATCAGAAGATATCTTCCTATACATTTCTATTTCAGACTTTTATCCTCCATTGTGGCCCCACCCTAACCCAGGGGGTCATGATTTGAACAAACTTGAATCTACACTACCTGAGGATACTTCCACATAAATATGATCAATCAGGGTTTTGCTGTTCCTGAGAAGAAGATTTTTAAAGATTTTTCCTATATATTTCTATGTAAAACTTTGATCCTCCATTGTGGCCCCGCCCTACCCCCGGGGGGTCAGGATTTGAACAAACTTGAATCTACACTACCTGAGGATACTTCCACATAATTATATATAAATATGATCAATCAGGGCTTTGCTGTTCCTGAGAAGAAGATTTTTAAAGATTTTTCCTATATATTTCTATGTAAAACTTTGATCCTCCATTGTGGCCCCTCCCTACCCCCGGGGCGTCAGGATTTGAACAAACTTGAATCTACACTACCTGAGGTTGCTTTCATATAAATATGACCAATTAGGGCTTTGCTGTTATTGAGAAGAAGATTTTTAAAGATTTTTCCTATATATTTCTATGTAAAACTTTGATCCTCCATTGTGGCCCCGCCCTACCCCCAGGGGTCATGATTTGGACAAACTTGAATCTACACTACATGAGGATGCTTCCATATCAATATGACCAATTAGGGCTTTGCTGTTATTGAGAAGAAGATTTTTAAAGATTTTTCCTATATATTTCTATGTAAAACTTTGATCCTCCATTGTGGCCCCACCCTACCCCCGGGGGGTCAGGATTTGAACAAACTTGAATCTACACTACCTGAGGATGCTTCCATATAAATATGACTCAGCATGGCTTTGCTGTTCTTGAGAAGAAGATTTTTAAAGGTTTTTCCTATATATTTCTATGTAAAACTTTGATCCTCCACTGTGGCCCCGCCCTACCCCCGGGGGTCATGATTTGAACAAACTTGAATCTACACTACCTGAGGATGCTTCCACATGAGTTTCATCTTCCCTGGCTTTGTGGTTCTTGAGAAGAAGATTTTTAAAAGATGCTTTTAATTTTTCACTAATTCTTTATCATCTCCCCTTAAAAGAGGGCGTGGCCCTTCATTTGAACAAACTTGAATCCCCTTCACCCAAGGATACTTTGTGGCAAGTTTGGTTGAAATTGGCCCAGTGGTTCTTGAGAAGAAGTCGAAAATGTGAAAAGTTTACAGACGGACGGATGGACAGACAGACAGACAGACAGACGGACAGACGGACTACAGACAAAATGTGATCAGAAAAGCTCACTTGAGCCTTCGGCTCAGGTGAGCTAAAAAGAAAATGCATTATGTGCAAAGTGTATAAAATAATCTCTAGACAAAACATACTAGTATTTCTTACAGTTCATTACGTGCTTCTTGACAACATTTGAAACTGCAGAAATATTTTTTTCAGCTCCATTTTAATTAAAATCAGATCCTTTGATCCCCTCACAGTGATAATTACTCAAGAGTAGCAATCTAACTGAGCAGATGAAAAGATCTGATTTTATAACTCTATCATATTTTTCCATGAGTTTCATGAATTATTTCAAAGACATTCATCATCATGTGGTAAATTAAAAAGTCATGTAGTTTTAACAAAGGATGAATCTCTGCCATTCAGTTAACTGAAAGTCTACTGAAAGGTGACTGAATGACAGAGCTCTGCCATTCAGTTACATTTCCAGACCTTTCAGTCACCATTCAGTTGACAGAATGGTACAGGTTCATCCTGTTTAACATCAGAGATAGCAACTACTGGTAGGCGAGATTCAAACTAGGTCAATCATGACAAAGAGATGACTAGTCACTAACGGTCAGTGGATACTATACCTACCCCTTCATTAGTCCTACTCTGGATTTCTAGAGGGTGACTTAAGCTGGGTTTGCCTAAATACCATTTGTCTGAGTGGTTATACTTCTGTAAAAGTTTTACCAGCTGATCAGTGTTGAGATAATTGTCATCATCCACATGACAAAACCACCTGTCAATCACAAGGGAAAAATTGTTACAAAGAATGCAATGATGTCATACATGAAGTTTTTAAAAAGGACATAAAAAGCAATGATATTTATTTATTTACATGTACACTATATTCAAAAAGTATTGTATTAACATAAGTACATGGAAACCCACTTTCAACTTAGGGGAAGAAAAATACTGGGGGGGGGGGGGGGGGGATAACTATGTAAATAAAATTTTTTGAATTAATCTTTTTCTCCCACACAAATTTCAATAAATTTCATCAAGGGACAGTCCTCTTTCATCCTAGAAACATGAGAAATATTCATGTTATGTTACAATGAATACTTCTACAAAAATGTCAAACCAACTAAAATTAACACACTTTGAAAATTAATCAATTAATCAAATCAAAACTAAAAAAAAAGACATCTGAAACTCACACTTATTTATTACAAGCTTATTTTAATGTCAAAAACACCAGTAAACACCAATGACATTATCCATATCATGTTAGTGGGAAAAATCATCACCACAGTTACCTTTCTTGATTTTGGACTGATATGATATACAAAAACATATTATTACACAAGTAAACTGGAAATTATTTTGTTTTTTTTTTTAATTAAAAGCAAAACAAAACAAAAAAAGAAAAAGAAAAGAAACCTAGGGGAAAAAATCCATCATTTTAAAATTTAAAAAAAATGCTTGACATAAAACATCAATCCACTAACATTTTGAATACATGTATTCAAAATATTCCACTTACACATGTTGAAATGTTGAACTTCATAACCAGTTGATAAAGTATGAAGAAAATTATGAAAAAATAATTTAAAGCTAGGAAGGACATGTAGATTATTGCTATATGCATATACATGTATAAAGAACACAATCAGATAAGTTTAACAAAGCAGCCAAGTCCCTAAAAATATTCCATAATTTTTCTATCTAATTGTATTAATAATGTCTATAGAAGTTAGAACTTAGCAACTGTATAATGAAGTTAATTTGCCTATATTTCAAAAGGATATATTCTATGAATAAGATATATAATAAGATATATAATATAATAAGATATTATAAGATATTATATTTAATATATAAGATATATAATAATAACATATTATATGATATTATATCAATAAACAGGAGGGATGAGTAAACATATGAACATCTATATTTTTTTACTAGATGTAAACTTGTGACATATTTGTGTACATGCTTTTACCTTTTATTTGAGTCTATGAAAAAGTCAAACTCTTTGGCCATTTTGCAGCAAAGGGATTTCCTAAAAGGAGAAATACATACAAGTAAAAAAATAAATTATACATCATATGCATGCACATCAAATTTTCAATTTAGAGATTTTCAAAATTAAAATATTGGAAATAAATCATGTATATAGTTTATAGATGTATTTTGATTGATTTGCATCACATTCTATTTGATTTTATTGTAATAAAGATGTATTAGGAGTTTGCATAAAAAAAACACCACCATACAGCATAACATGTAAAGTGAAATGCCATGGGCTAGAAATTTTTTCTTAAAGTTTGAAAGCTAGTACTTAAAAAGGTAGGGGAAGCATGATAAGCTTTATTACTTTTTAAAGCTATTAATCAAGGTACTGTAGCTGCAGTTAGCAAACACTGTCTTGCAAAAATTAAATATGGACTGTCCTTTTAAAATTTGTGTGAACCCAAGTACCTTTATTAGATTAAAGTAATAATGTTCTTCAAATAATTCTTGATATTTTAAAAAGTCTCACAGTACATAGCAAAAATTAATCACAAATTTCAGATTCAAAGGACCATCCTTTCCTCAAATCTTTGCAAAAAGAATTTAGCACATCTTTGGATTAAATACACCTAAGAGAAATTTAAATAATACACCAGCTCCTTCATACTTAAAATCTATAAAGGTATCAAGGCAAAGAATATAAAATGAATTTTTTGATGTACTCCAATTGTGCTGTCAAAACACCCCTACACAATCAATTTTTTAGTACTGGGTACTCTATTTTACTTCTGTCATTGTTTCCAATCCAGGGAAATACAGATTGTCCATTTCATTTCCATACTTAGGATTTATAATTTCTCAAAGATGCTTTTTCAGATTGAAAATTTTTAAAGCAATATAATTATAAATATTAAATCTGTCTAGCTGTCCCGTGTATACATTGTACTCAAAACATTAATAAATTTCCAAGTCTGTGATTTTAAGGATGATTATCAATATGTTAGATGTTTAAAAAAAAACTACCTACCCACCTTGAAAAATGTGAGTCACAGCACATCAAACAAACTTTTTTAATGATTGCCCAAACATATATATGTTTGCCAGCTGTTCTATTACATAAAGACACAACAGTAACTTGAATCTTCTCTCTGGAATACATACCTATAATGACTCTCTGGACAGTTTGTATTGATCACATGGCCATCTTAAAATTAAAGAAAAAAATTAATTAAAACAATTCTAGATCATAATTACATGTATATTTTCACATACTACAGATCTGATCTAAATTCAGTCAGTAAAAGCATTTACACATATAAATTTATATCACATGTTTAATCTAAACTTAAAGCAAAGTGTTCAGACATTACAAATATTAACAATTTCAGATTCTTGGAATGTCAATTGTAATTTTTACAATTATTGTTTTTAAAGATGAAGATGACTGCCAGGGGCTTGACAGAACAAGATAATAGCATCTTTGTGAAACATCATGCCTCAACAGTCTAGATAAATTTTCATGGTAGCTAACTTGATTTGACTATGTTTTACTTGACAGTGATTGTTACCGGTATCACTATCCTAACTAAACGTAAACTTTATACATTATCAGATGGTTCAAAAGTTATGGCTCAGTGGAGTTTTAAAAGTCAGGTGAATGTACAGACAGAGAAAACAAAACAGTCATAGACCTATCATATACCTATCATATACTCATTTGTTCTAATGTGAAGCACAAAGAAAACCTATTTCTATCATGTTTATTAAAAGAATTTCAATAAATTCTTAACAATTTATTATATATATATATCAGACTCTACTTTTTTGAAAAGCAAATATATAACTAAAAATCCATGAAGTATGCCTTGATTAAATCAACATAACTTACCTCTGAAATTTTATTATCAAATTTTACTTTCAAATAAATTCATCACTATGAGATTTGAAAGTACATGGAAATTTACCTACCTGGCATTTTCTCGCTGAGAGACAAGTCATCCCTGTCTGTGAAAATGTAAGTCTGTAAAAACAAAACCACTCATCAAGTTAGATGATAGGAATGTGTACATGCACAAAACTGTCCAAACAAAACTAACGTCCCCATGGAGCACACTTGCCATACACAATCACAAGCATATTAGAAAATCTGTATAAAATAAATTCTCTTCGATTTTTATAAACATTTAATTTCCTTTCAATAACAGTCTTAATTCTTGCTCTGGGTTTAATAACTTAATATAATGACATCCTCATTCAAATCATTTTAATTAATGAGCAAGTATGTGTCAAATAGTATAAGCTATCTATATCTCCAGATAACTTTGCTATAGCTGGAGAAAAAAAAAATGTGCACTTCTAAATCTTCAGACTTTGCCCAAATGGCCTTAGCTCAAGGTAAAGATTCATCTTCTGTGCCAAGTTATGGCACTTAGCTTAACTTTGAAATGTGATGGGCAGGGATTTCAATAACTTTGAAGTGGAGATGTGAATTTATTCATTTAAAGAGAATGTTTTAGAAACATTTTCAATTATAGTTTATTTTTTTAAATTTAAAGTGGGAAATTCTGATCATTGAAATGATGAAAAATCTCCTCCTGTCTCCCTGTAATCCTGGATGGGAGAATAAAAATATCCCCCCCCCAAAAAAAAAAAAAATGAGTATTTCCTGACATCTAAATCTTTGACCTTGACCTTGGTAAAATGACCTTGGTTTATAAATCCTGTATATCAAGTAAATCTTCCTAATATGAATTCTTGATCATCTACCATTTCTTCCAAAATTTTCAAAATAATTAAGATTTGTACAATTGGATAGTTTTACAATTCTTAGCCCTGTGACCTTCAACAAATGACCTTGGTTTTCCTAATCAAGAGAGCCCAACTTCATTGACAAGCAAGAGCCTCTTAAAGTTTCTCAATCACAATGTCATGGCCTCGATAATAGTTGGCTGGACAGTCTCATGCAGATGGTGACATCTCCTCTAAAAAATTAATTGTCAGAAAACATAAGCTTTTTAATATTAATTGATATAGGCCTACAGTTGAACTTCGGTATCTGGAACAGGGATATATCAAATACCATCTAGGGTGAATTCACCATGCATCGGACACATACCTTGCTTCAGACAACTTCAAGCAATAAACTTTCATTGAACCTGAGTCACCCCATGTTTTTACTTGTTTCTTTCTTAAAGATGAAGAATTAAACTTTTTAACAATGTCGATTTTTATTTTCATGTTGTGATAAAAATACCACAAGAATGGCCTTGAAATTACGTCATATTTTACATCATCAAAGGGGAGTAACCAGATTTTTACGATTTTGCAATTTTTAGAGTTGTCGTTCTTCTAAATAGATGTCAACAGAACGGGTCGGACCTTGGTAAAATTTGTCAATGATTGATAATATTACAGAAATTTTCAAAAATTTTACTTCAATGTTTGTATAATATATTTTAGAGTTGTTTTTAACTAGTATGTTTATTTCACCGTACATCGGACACAAATTAACCATGCATCGGACATTTTCTGATGCATGGGTAATTACTTCCATTTTCATGTAAAACCCAAATGACAGCTGTTTTTTTTTTTTTACGGAAATAGAAAATAGAAACTCTAAATTTTCAGAGAAAATACAAATTATTGATATATGACTAGAAGTGGACTCAATTTATTTCTTTAAAATAGATGATTATAACACACGAGACAAAGGCGCGAGTTGCCATATTACTCGCATTGTAAAGCCTTTCTAAGGCGATGTGATGCAACTAAAATCTCTTCATATTTGTGGATCAAATTAGTCATTCATTAGAAGGTTAATTTTTAAATAAAAGATAAAAATGTTTCGACATCACTAATTTTAAAGCACCGAGATCAAGGTATGATATTTTTCTGGTTTAAATATCGTAAGTCCGATGCATGGTGAATATTGTCCGATCCATGGTAAATTCTGACTTATTTCGAAAAAATCGGTTTTTAATGACATTTTCTCAATAAATAGGGCACGGTTGTGTCAAAAATTTATATTTTAACCACATACTACATGTTAAGTTCCATTTTGATAATATTCGGTCGGTAGCGATATCATTAGAACTTGTTGAAGTGCAAGGGTGTCTGATGCATGGTGAATTCACCCTATGTCGAAGCGATTTAGAAGTCACAATCACTTCTCCTTTAAGCATTTTACCCTTAATATCTCAGATATCGATCTTTAGGTTTTTCTTGGTCCTACCGAGTTCGAGATAACGAGGTTCGACTATAACTCATAGTCCTGATGTGTGGAATTCATCAATTTATTAACATGTCATTCCACATGCTAAATACAAACAAGTCAAACTGTCATAATTAACAAAAATATGTTTCTACTGAGCTGAGTTGATGAGTCACCTGTTTTCTGCAAGTTGAGATCCATGTTTCCAAAAGAAGCTTCATTCTCGTTTCGTGGAATGATGATGTCGTTTTTACTGAAATAAACACATCATTTATATCCGTGGCCTTGATATCACTGTTTTCCAAACTTTTTGGGGAGAGTTTTGTCTTCTTTTTCTTTTCTTTGTGAACATGTAAATCAATTTCGGGACTAAATGATTTGGCACTTCTCTGGCTCCTAAAAACTTTGCTCTCGGGCCGTACTATGTCACTTCCGAACGATTCAACAAGTGGCTCTTGTTCGCCGCCATGTCCATCTTGCAAACTTTGTAAACTTTCCAATGATGAAGATTTGTCCCAGTAAAATAACACAACCAATAAAAGAAAGCCACTTAAAGAAATTAAAGTCTTGACAACTTTTTTAAAAGTTATCCTCATCACTTTACACTAGCTTTGAGTAAGATTTGTACCTCATTCCGATACACTCTCTTGTATTTACCCTCGTAAAGTGAACATTTTCACACGGTCCAATTTATTATTAGAAATAGGGGACAAAGGTTGTGTCCCAATTACCCCATCGGATTCTTCTCAATTTATCAATAGGAAAAAATCAGAGGAACACCAAATAAGAATTGGGTATGCGCATGCCCCACATAGAAAATGTAAACTTCCTGTCAGAGTCGGATCACAAGACGTTGAGGACATGGCGAGCGACACTTGGTACACGCTTTTCAGATTTAAGCTAAATCAAACGTTTTTTGGAGAAGAATAAACGGAAAGATTATCTTTCCATAATGCATACTAGATAATACAGTTATTATTAACACTTTGTGTAAAGTTTCATTCAAGTTGTAGTTACCAGGTTATCTTGATCACACCTACTTTGAGTTTAACATGTTTAATGTTTTTAGGCCTATATTCTACAGTTTCATAAAAGTTTAAAAAGGAACATATATTTCAGGTTAGCTGAGTATGATGCATGTGCAAGGCTTGGGCAAACTCTTATGGAAAACATAACGGAGAGGAACAAACACAGCAGGACCAGTTCACAGTACACCAAGGTCCTGATGAACATCATCTGCTCATTGATTTCTGTGATGGAACATCCATATAATTTGTATATTGAACTTGAAATCATCATCCATTTGATCCAGGTTTAATCAAAGGTGTACAGGGATTTATGGCAGGTTGAATTCTATATACACCCTGAGGCCCAATAAATTTTTGATTGAACCTGGATAAAGTCTTTACAAAGAAATTATTTGGTACATAGGAAATAAAATCTTTATTAAAGATTTTATTTCCTATGTACCAAATAATTTCTTTGTAAACCCAAATCCTATCACTGGTGTTCCAAACTATCAATAAGATTTATTTTGTACAGTAATGCAATGCATCATAACGTCTTATTTGCTCTTTGTGATAGCAAAACTATTCATTGTGACATCATATTACTGTACGTGTACATAAATTGGCGTATTCAAAATTTAGCGCAATCACTGGGTATGGAGTTGTTGGCAAAATCATGAATTAGCGCTATACATGTCCATGTGATATTTTGTATTTATAGATGATTTCTTAGCTGTATTCATGAATTAGCGCATTGTTGTCTGTGCAAAAGCCGCTAAAATATAAAGCCCGCTTTTTTAAGTACACATATAGTATTTACCCCAGGCTTCGACCAAACGTACAGAAATTTACACCTGCCTTGCTAATCAATTGGATTTTGTGCTACAAGCTACGTAGGAATTAAATGAAAGCTTTCCTTCAGTAGATATTTCTGTGAAGCCTAAAATTTTATTCACAAAATTAATGCAATATATATTATTGTCAGGAACAAACTGATACACTGTTGTTATTTGAATTTAAAAAAAGAACTGCATATTGAGTAGAAATATCGTGTATGTTTAAATGTTGAGAGTAGTCAGAGTGTATGGAAAATGTTTAAGATTATGACTGAATAATATCTAAAATGTGGTATGTTTTATATGATTTTATGCTAATTTTTTTGTTGTTGTTTTTACAGCTTTCAGCACATATACGAGTGTCTATGAAGCAGTTCACTCAGTCATTAAACAAGCTGAAGCAGAATCTTGTCAGAGCCTCATCCTCATATCATATGTATCTTTTCATTATCATATTTGATAATTCTTTATTGATTGAATGTTTGGCTTGAACAAGTATCATACTTGTAACTTTAAAAATAACTGTAGGATTACTTACATACAGGTGAATAGTCTAAGCATTAATTTGTTTGAATTACTAACAATTACCTAAATTTGGTTGAATATTTTACTTTTAAAAGTTTAAGAGAATAGGTTTTGATTTAGTCTGAAATATCTGATGTTTTTCAGGCTTTTTTCACGATTTTGATATTTGATGTGCTAGGAAAATGTCAGAACCAACACCATTACGAAAACTGAAAATTTCGCCATCTCCAACTAGAGTTGATTTTCAATACTTGCGAACCGATTATATGCCAAACTCACAATTTAACAACATGATCAATAACACAATGCTTCTAGTACTCACCGATATCGATGAAAAGAAAACATCAATCCACATTTGACACAGGACTTGCAAGATTTTAAAATGCACGAAATGAAAACAAATCTCGACAGTCGATAAAATGTTTTCATCAGATTATATTTTATGTAAAGGAACCATAAAAACAATGTTGGTGAGTACTTAAAGTATTGTACTATTGATATGTTGTGAGTTTGACATTTAATTCGGTTCGCAAGTATCAAAAATCAACCTGAGAATGCTGCCTCGGGTTGGAGGTGGCGAATTCCCAGTTTTCGTAATGCCGGCTCAGACGTTTTCCTGGCACGTAAAATATCAAATTAAAAAAGCCAGGAAAATGTCAGATATTTCAGACTAGTTTTGATTGAACTGATCATGCTGATATATACACGAGAACCACTTGCTACGTACATGTGGGAGTTTTACTACAGCATGTTATGTAGAAGAAAATAAATGTTTTCAAGAATGCTTTGATTAATGATTATTGGATATCCATGACCATATGTATACTTGGAATTTGAAGCATTCATCATTCTTTTACCTTGATTTCCTGATGGCATTTCGGACTTGAATGTTTGAGAAATTTACTCTGATTTTTTAATCATACAAATTTCACAAATCACATTTTAATGGTATTGGACTATGCTTTAGTGAAGTTGACCTTAACTTCATTTAAAGAACGCAGAGAGAAGTTGAACGTAGACAAATGATGATGGACAATCTAACGACAAAGGAGAAACAGATAGACCAGGCTTTTAAGAATGAGGCCAGTGCATCCAGGTACCTCTGCACTCTAAATTAGAATTTTTGCAGATATGTTAGATAATTTTTGCATGGGATAGCCAGGTTGGAATTAAGTTTGGTTAAAAGGATGAAAATTATGTTATTTATAAACTGAAGAAACAAATCATTTATTTGTTTACATGCAGGTGTGCCAAACTTTGATAAAATTTCATATAGTTAATACAATGAGTTTTTAATTTAGAGCATGGAAATTATGAATTAAATATTTTTAGTAAATATTTTCAGTTTCTAAACTATGTACATCTCCATTACTATGTTAATACCATTTGTGAATTATCAAATTTTAAAAGTTTAATAATTCTTGAATTAGGACTAAAGTCAATGCATAGACTGGTTTGTGTGATCTTTTTGCAAAAATAAGAGTCAGTAATAAATCTTTTTGATATCTGCTCACACATCTAAAAAGTTTATTAATTGAATTACAATATCAAAATGAGAAAAATTATTATTTAATTTAATGGTGTCAACAAAGAGTAGCGTTATTAGAAAATTTCGGTTGTCATTAGTGTACAGGGTATTACTTAATTTTGAAGGTCATCATTGATGGGTGGTGGTGCCAGTGGATTTGGAGGGAGGGATCCATGGGGAGTGAGAGATGAACCAGAGGAATATGAAGGAATGGACAATCAGGGAATAGCACAGCAACAGCAAACTATCATACAAGGTGGGGTTTTAGATTATCGTGATGAAAATATGTCAAAAAAACATGCTGAATTTGACAAAATTTGGTTATATCAATTTAGCTCATGTGAGCTAGCTTTTCTGATCACCTGTCATCCGCATGTGTCAGTCTTTCCATCTTTCTGTAAACTTTATACATTTTCAACTTCTCCTCGAGAATCACTAAGCTAATATCAATCAAACTTGGCAGAGAGTCTCCTTGGGTGTAAAGGGGATTCAAAATATCAGTATCCCCTCCAAGGGGGAGATGATCAAGAAAAGGCAATAAAAGACAATAAAAATGACCTTTGAGTTAAACCTACTTTTGAAAAAACTTCAACCTTGGCCATAAAGTCTGACAGTTTGAGGCTAGGGCTTTCATATTTCGCATGTGTATTCCTTGTGATGACACCTTTTTTGGGTACCAAAATATTTGACCTCATGACTATGACCTAGGAATTTGACCGTCTTTTAAAAATCTTTAAATTTGGCATAACTTTTGAATGATTGGTGCTAGGGCCTTTATATTAAATATGTGTATTTCTTATGACAAGTCATTTCTTTGGATACCAACTTTTAGACCTCTTGTTGTTGACCTTTGAGTTTGATGTATTTTTGTAAAACTTGAATCTTGGCCATTATTTTAGAATGGTTGGTTCTAGGGCTTTCATATTAACATGTGTATTCCTTGTGACAAGACTTTTCTTGAGGTACCAACATTTTTAACTTCTTGGAGTTTGGCCCACCTTTATAAAATTTTAACCTTGGTCATAACTTTGTTGGTGCTAGAACTTGTCTTCTGACAAGACCTTTCTTTGAGTACAAATATTTTCACTTCATGACCTTGATAACTTTTGAAAAAGCTGCCATACAAGGGTATCAGCGTTTTACAAACACATTTTGTTTTTCTTTCAATTTTATGACCCATGGGTAAAAATGGGCCCAAAATCTGGAATCAAATCTACATATACATGTACATTTACATATACATTTTCTCCTTGTATGTCCTCATTTTAGTGTACAAAGACTTGAACTCATAAATATTTGTAATAATAAATGTAAAAATTTTCAGTCCCTATCATATGATAATCAATTTCTTTGGCTCAAGACTAATGAAGACCCTGAGATCCTCAGATCTCTTGCTAGATTCCTTGATAATCTACCTTAACTGAAAAATTTAAATATATTTGAGGATGTATATACATGTAGGAATGGCAATATATCATCTCTTCTGTTCTTTGATATGCATATATGTATCTTTCCAGCTACTTGACTATATATTATTATTAGTCCCCTACCGGTGAAACCGGAGGGGACTATAGGTTTCCTCTGAGTCTGTCCATCTGTCAGTCTGTCCCACTTAGTTTTCCGCACTTTTTTCCTAAACGTTTGCAGATATTGAGCTGATTTTTGGTTTGTGAGTGTATCTTGATGAGTTACAGATCAAGTTTGCATTTCGTTCCGCTTCATTGATTTTTGACGGAATTACGGCCTTTTCAATTTTTAAGGGTTTTCCGCAATTTTCTTCTAAACGCTTTCAGATATTGAGCTGATTTTTGGTATTTGACTTTACCTTGATTAGTTATAGATCAAGTTTGCATGTCGTTCCGCATTGATTTTTGACGGAATTATGTCATTTTCAATTCTTAACGGGAACCAGATTACACTTGCCGGTAGGGGACTAGTATTGCTAATGCAATACTCTCAGAATGCTTGTTATATTACAATATGTATACTCGTATATATCTCTTGTAGATGCATTTATCAATGAATATACAATTAAGCACTGCTCATTATATTTAAGATCATGTTTGTTCTATCATTTGGATCTTCCTCCTTCTTTGTTTCATGTTTGTAAATCTTTTTTGCTCCTCCGGGGGCCCAAATTGGACTAATAAATCTTGTATCTTGTACATGTAATGCATGCATAGAGCAAAAAAAAAAAAAAAAGAGGGGGAGGGCGTAGAAATCTTCCCCAGAACAGTGAGGCCATGTTGCTCAAACTGATATGAAAGCATCCCCATTTTTGTGTGGATTCAAGTTCAGTTAAAATATGACCACTGAGTGCTAGATTTGGGTCACAGCATGGGGTCAAAATTTTTCATGTCAATAAAAAGGAAACAAAAATCTTTTACAAGTTTTCCGAAGAAAAGTGAGGCCAAGTTGACTTAGGTGAGGGTATTGACCCATGGGCCTCTTGTTGAAAGTAAAGTTTTTGTTATCAAATTTCATTTACATTAATCTCCAGTATATAATCTTATCTAATGCAGCTTTATGAATGCTGGTAATAATCTAAGAAAAAAGGTGCATCTCCAGAACTTAAGAAAATTTACATAGATGTAATTTTCAGGAAGTTTCATTTACATGTACTTGTAGATAAAACGTTTTTAATTTACCTTCTCTTTAGAGTTTGAAATATAAAGAGTAATAACAACATAAATTCATAAATGATACTATATACCATACCCATGTCATGTGATGATGCAAAAACTAATAGAATATTTTGACTTATTTGAATTCATTTCTTGATTACAGAACAAGATAGAGGGTTGGAGTCTCTCTCTAAAGTAATCTCAAGACAAAAACAGATGGCCATAGACATTGGAAATGAAGTGGACAGTCAGAATGGTAGGTGTCTGTCTCTGTTGCCAGTCTCAAGAAGAAAATTAGTGTCCTTCCTTTTACGCTGTTCCTGCTCAGACAAAGTGATTTTAATTTGACATGCCAAGATTAGTTTTTTGTTCAGTATGTAGGTACATGTATTTAAAATGTATGCAGAGCTGATTTTCTGCAAGAAAGAAAAGGCTTCTTTGAAGATTCAAAATTTTGTATAATACATCCTGGTAAAGGTCTAGTTATATCTAATCTAGATATGTAAATATATTTCCCACACAAATTCTTATGGGTAAAGTGTACATTGGCATTAATAATATTCTTTTATTTTTATGTAAAGATGTAAAAAAAAAATTCTTCCAAGTTTCAAATTTCGTACTTTGCATCCATATTAAAAAAAATTAATACAAAGAAGCTCACACCTATTTCTGCATAATTTAGAATTTGATTAATTTTATCAAATATTTCAGACTTGATTGATGACATTGGGGATCATATGGACCAGACCAAAACACGCCTCATTAAGGAGACCAGACACATACGTATAGTGGACAGGAAGTCAGCTACATGTGGTAAGACTGGCCATCAGAGGAAAAAGTTTATAATTTTATATTAAACATCTTTGTGCAAGATGATTCCATTAAATTCATTATACTGTATATCAGGTATAATTTTGGCAATGAAAATATTTTTGGCGAATTTGGATTTGATAAATTGGCACTTTATATTTTGTTGGATTTTCATTTTTAATGCTCTGTATAACTCTTTGTAAACTGTTTGGAAATGTTGGCGCTTTATTTTTGGCAAATTTTTCTGATTCACCAAATAAACCAACTTTTGCAGCGTGCCAAAATTACTGTATATGGTATTACTTAGTGATTTGTTGATTCAGGTTTCAGAGTGTTTTAAGAAATGTTAACAGTATGTACAAAAAATTTTCAATGTTCAAAGTACTTTTGGTTTTATATGGAACCATGGAATATTTCGTGGTTGAACTTTTAGCGACATTCACAAATTTATTCGTAATACATTGAATATGAATTTTTAAGGCATAAAATCTTCAATTTGTGCAATTACTGACAGATTTTAGAAGATATGTAATAGAATAATATAGCTAAGGATTATATGTTGAAAATTATGCATGCCTTTATTTTTTTCATGGCTTTTATTTTTATTTTTTGTAGCCTACTGGGTGGCCATAATCCTGATTTTCATAGCTATCATAGTCATTTTGATAGTACCTTACAATGGGAAAGGAGTGTAGCAACCACAAAATTACAAAAAAAAAAGAAAAGAAATGAAGACAGTAGTTCTGGAGTAAGCCAAAGTGGTGCATTTTCTGAACAGGAAAAAATACCTAGACACAAATTACTTGTACATGTCTAAGAAAGTGCTCTAACTGTGATAATGTGGATTGAATAGTGCAATCACAATGAGTGATCCCAGAGTGCATTTGTGGTCTAGTTTTGTAATTATTGTTTTCACTAATCTATTTTTTCTTTGTTTCATTCCCAGAGTATAGTGACTATTACTGATTCTAGGATATAATTATATCAAGTTAAAATTAGGTTCATTTTGTTGTTATCTTCATTGTATATGATTGAAAGTACATGTACAAATGTAAAATTTGCCTGCAAAAAGCACCTTGGAATATAATTGGAGTATGTGTATTTGTTTTAACAAGTAATGGTATGTTAAACTTAATGATTTAAACATATATGTATGTATATGCATACATATATGGAAAGAGATTTTTCTTTAATAATCATCAAAGTCCCTCAATCAGTAGAAAGTTGTATTCAATTTTATTTTTATCGATATATTACAGGGGGAGGGGGTGTTCTCTTCAGAATGAAAATGGTAAGAGTTTTTTTTTTTGGGGGGGGGGGGGGCGCTTGAGGTATTTGGGCAAATATGGTTGAAATTTAGTGAACCTCTTCCATTCTTATAGGTTTTTAAACAATATGAAATTTAATATGGAACATTGGTTTATTGAACATGTGTAATATAAATCTTTTTGTAATAAAAAAAATAATTATTTATTAAAACCATGTGTTTATTTTCTCACTTGTAATAAATAAGTGATTTTCTTTCAAGAACTGATGTAGCGCAATATGGGTAACTCAATTTGTTATGCTTTGATAGGAGGCAGGCTTGAATCATGATGATGTGAAGCATCTAATGACAACATGACAGACCCAAACTTTTTTTTGCTCATTGCTCATGTTGACTAAGTTTAGATGAGCTTTTCTTAGACCCCTGGCATTTGCGTTAGCGTCCCTGTTAGTTTTAGGAGCAAGTCTCATTTTCAATTAACTATAAGCCCTACCTGGAGCAAACTTGCATGGATCATGCGTCATCGAATGCATGTACATTAATTGACTTGCTTTGGGTGCTTGATTTGACCTACATTTTAGAGAGGAATGAACAGGTTAATATTTGGAAGTGGCCCATCCTCAGTAACTATAAGCCCTATCATGGACTTGCATTGATGATGCATATTATTAGGTATACACACAACGAGGTATGCTTTGGAAGCTGGACCTACATTTGCACGATGATTGAAGAGTTAAAGTTTTCGAATCAGGCCCATTTTCAAGTATCTTTGGATCCTACCTGGACCAAACTTGTATAGATGTTTTATCTAGGGATGCACACTACCAGTGCATTTGTCTGGTGTGAGACTTTTCCTTACTAGGTGTCAATCTTCCATTTGTCTGTGTGTCAGTAAATTAACAATTTTTCAAAACACTACTCCTCATACACTTTTGTTCCAATTTCAACGAGACTTGGTACACAAGTAGACGGGGGGGGGGGGGGGGGGTTATGAGGAGGGTAGCAGATCAGATACACTTGGCTAACAAAGATAACAAAGACTACATTTACCTGGTAGATACAAAACTCTGTATATCGTTTTTTATTGGGGAGGGGGTGACAAACAGTTTTGTCTTGCTTACTAAAAATAGAATTTTCTCATTTTTCTGTGAAATTATTTCAGAATGCTACTCCTCCAAGCATTTTTGTCCAAATTCAATAAGACTACACAAATTAACTATACTAAGAAACATAGTTCTGTGCAACGGTTTTTCATGAATGCCTAATAATAGATTAGGTCTTCTAATTAAAGATACATAATTCTGCATTCAATGAATGATGTTGCCATGGTTACTTAAAAAAGAAATTTGTTTGAAAATCTTGCCAAAAAAAGTTTGCGTTAGGCAAGATTGTTTTAATTAATGAACAATGTTGCTATGTTTACTTAAAATAGAAATTACTGTTTTGGTCTGATTTCAAAGTACGACTTGGTACACGAGTAGAGTACACTAATTTTAAGATACACAGTTCTGTTAATTTGATTTAGATATTGATGAACACTGTTGCAATGTTTACAGTGTATCACTACGTACATAAAATAGGATAATATTTTATCTACGTAGTGAAACTTCGGAACGCTACTCCGATTAATATAGATGTATTTTGTCTGAATTAGAAAACTATAACAAGGATCAGTAATTTGTATTCATTGGTGTTGCCATAAATACCAAGTTTCAAGGTCAGGTGGTGCTTTTCTCTCCTTTATTAAAAGCACAAACCAGTAGAGCTACAGTCTCCTTCAAAGGTGGTGGATGGCTAGAGAAATACAATCAATAGCTTTTTGGGTCACTTGACCAAAAGTCAAGGTCAAAATCAGAATAATTGCTACTATTATGACAAATCTATATGCACAAGGAAATATATGTACATGTATGCTAAGGACATCAAATAACTACTTTAAGTAAAAAATATTGAGAGGAAGACTTTTACAGATTTTAGTTCACTAGGTCAAATGTCAAAGGCCAAAATAATTGGCAACCTTTGCAATGACTAGAGCATATTTTGAAACTTGGGGACTTCATATTAATTAAACGGATTAAGAATGGGAAGAGGAAGACACTTCGCTAGCATTTGAACAAAGATGAAGGTCAAGTTCAAGTTCAGTGTATTCATATTGGTACATGGGGTACATTAATAACATATATACATTATATACAAAACTGCCCTAACAAAAAACATATAGTAAACAATAGTTAACTATAGTTTACTATAGTTAATCAAAGTTTCAAAGTTTTTACTGTAGTAAATCAAAGTTTTTATTATAGTTAACCAAAGTTTCAAAGTTTTTACTACAGTAAATCAAAATTTCAAAGTTTTTACTGTAGTTAACCAAAGTTTCAAAGTTTTTACTATAGTTAACCAAAGTTTCAAAGTTTTCACTATAGTAAATCAAAGTATCAAAGTTTTCACTATAGTAAATCAAAGTTCCAAAGTTTTTACTATAGTAAATCAAAGTTCCAAAGTTTTCATTATAGTTAATCAAAGTATCAAAGTTTTTACTATAGTTAACCAAAGTTTCAAAGTTTTCACTATAGTAAATCAAAGTATCAAAGTTTTCACTATAGTAAATCAAAGTTCCAAAGTTTTTACTTTAGTAAATCAAAGTTCCAAAGTTTTCATTATAGTTAATCAAAGTATCAAAGTTTTTACTATAGTTAACCAAAGTTTCAAAGTTTTCAGTATAGTAAATCAAAGTATTAAAGTTTTTACTATGGTAAATCAAAGTTCCAAAGTTTTTACTATAGTAAATCAAAGTTCCAAAGTTTTCACTATAGTTAATCAAAGTATCAAAGTTTTTACTATAGTTAACCAAAGTTTCAAAGTTTTCACTATAGTAAATCAATGTATCAAAGTTTTCACTATAGTAAATCAAAGTTCCAAAGTTTTTACTATAGTAAATCAAAGTTCCAAAGTTTTCATTATAGTTAATCAAAGTATCAAAGTTTTTACTATAGTTAACCAAAGTTTCAAAGTTTTTACTATAGTTAACCAAAGTTTCAAAGTTTTTACTACAGTAAATCAAAATTTCAAAGTTTTTACTGTAGTTAACCAAAGTTTCAAAGTTTTTACTATAGTTAACCAAAGTTTCAAAGTTTTCATTATAGTAAATCAAAGTTCCAAAGTTTTTACTATAGTTAACCAAAGTTCCAAAGTTTTCACTATAGTAAATCAAAGTTCCAGAGTTTTTACTATAGGTAATCAAATTTTCAATGCATCACTATACTATATCAACGTTTTCACAATAGTTTATCAACTTATTAAAGTATTTAAATAATTTTTTTGCTTATTTTGCCGTTTTTTTTAAGGTGTGGAGCTGGGGGCTGGGGTTGTTGTACATCATGTGTTAATTTAAATTTACAAATTAGTCAATTTAAATCTAATACATACATTTATAAATTTAAAAAAGACACATTTTTACTGAAGTTGAGGGAGAAGGTATTTTGGTTCTAAATGACGCGAATTTTATTTTGTAGTTTATTATTATCCTTTCTCCATAAAAAAAAGACTTACACTGCATCTGCATTAAATTAAATACATTAAAATGTTGTTCATCTATGGCGCGACAGACAACCTTACATTAAAATTCATTTCTTGTACATTCTTTTAGGGGAGTGATCGGGTTTATAAAAAGTTCTCTGAAGCCTTTATGAATTTTGACCATGAAATATAAAATGTCAAGAAAGGGAATCAAAAACATAATTCCATGGGTTTTTCTACAGTAAATCAAAGTATCAAAGTTTTTACTATAGTAAATCAAAGTTTCAAAGTTTTTACTATAGTAAATCAAAGTTCCAAAGTTTTTACTATAGTTAATCAATGTTCCAAAGTTTTCACTATAGTTAATCAAAGTTCCAAAGTTTTTACTATAGTAAATCAAAGTTTCAAAGTTTTCACTATAGTAAATCAAAGTTCCAAAGTTTTACTATAGTAAATCCAGGCCCGCAGGAAGCAATTTCACTTTGAGGGGGCACAAACATATATTTTCAGTTGGGGGGGGCACTATCAACTACCAAAATTCCTTGACAAGCAAACAAAAAAAAGGGGGTCATCAGACGTTATTTTGAGGGGGCACAAGCATATAGCAGCTTTGTTTTCTATAGTATTCTATATATCGGCAAAATTATGGGGGGGGCACGGCCCCCCGTGCCCCCCCCCCCTCGGTTCCTACGGCCATGAAATCAAAGTTCCAAAGTTTTTACTTTGATACTATACATGTAGTTAACTATAGTAAATTATAAATAACTATAGTTTACTATAGTATTTTTTATAGGGTGGTCAGAGGTTCATACACAAAACAAAAAACATAAAAACAAAAAAAAAGATTGGGGAAATAAATAAATGATATAAGAGGGAAAAATATAAACTACAAAAGATCGAGAAAATAATTGGTATGATATTATACAGCTACGTATTACGTAATGAAGTGATCGACTCCGTAATTACAATTTTTAAAACTTCCTTTCTGCTAAATAGTGGAGAATAAGTAGCTTATAAGAGGAAGACATCGCTAGATCTGGGGTCACCTGGTTATTATCAAGTTACAATGCTGCATTATTGCCAATTTTTATTGCAGTTACTGAGACATTTTGTAACCTAACGATTGAGGTTGCTCGGATATCGCCTTCATATTAACTACATACATAAAAGACAATGTTCAATGTGTTTGATGTCTCTCATTTGAATTAAGGTCAAGACTATTGATGTGGCTATTACACACATAAATTACTTTAATCGGGAGCTCACGTATTTTTAAAACTAATAAATACGTTTTCACAGCAAACTATTATGTGAAAAACGACAAGAGAAATATTTTTACAAATGAGATCACTCAGGCCGAGTACAAGTGAAATTGTTTATTTTCTTATGTATACATTTAGTATGTCTTGCAAAAATATATTGAGTATATAACATGAAGACTTCATATTCTCTATAAAAGTTGTAGTGTTAATATGAACTTTAGACGTAAGAAGGTTTGTATAT